CGGCTCCTGCCGGCGCGGCGAGCCTCCCGCCCACCCCGGCAGGCGCTTCAGCCACCAGTCACGGGGTTAAAATGCATGTTGTAAATTAAAATGCACGTCGTAAATTCTCCTGTTGCCTTCAGACATCACAGGGAGCCCTGCAAAAGTTGGTGTTGGGGGGGAAGATGCTCCGGGCATCTCCGCTGCCTGGCAGCCCCTGCCTCGCAGCCATGGGCTTCGCGATGCCCACCTCAACTTGGGTGCCCTAATACCAACTTGGGCTGGAGCAAAGCCGCTGCCTTGATGTTTTACCTCGCTCCGAGGGCAGGCTCCCTGCTTTCCAACTCAGAAAATCTGCCCAGAGAGCCTCACGGAGCCCACCCCGAACCCCACCACAGCTGCTGCCGGTGGCAGCGTGGGCATCCAAGGGGGTGAGCACTGAGCCTCGCGCACAGCCACTGTGCCACGTTCCCACGGCAGACACGGGGGCAGCTTGGCCAAGGCCCTTCGGCGGTTCCTTGGGAAACATCTCTTCTTTTGGCCTTCCCCGCAGAGCTGCCCTCGGCAGCCCGGGTGTCCCTGCCATCCCCCTGTCTTGCTCCAAGCCATCGGTGACCTGGGTGACGTGCGAACAGGGAAGAGCCGTGCTGCAATTTCCCCACATCCCCGCACCATTCTGGTGCCCACCTTTACCTGCCTGCCCACAGCCGGACGATCCACCGGGCTACATCAGCTCTTCAGCTGGGAAAAAAACCTCTTTCTTTTCAGCAGCTGTCTGGGGAGGATGGACCTTCCTTCCTCCCTGAGTCTGGACAAAGCTGCCCCCCCGAGCAGGCGGCCCTGGCCCCGGTCAAGTTCACACCGTGGCCGAGGTGCGGGAGCCCCCTCGCTCCAGCAGCGGATGATCAGCTGCATCCCCCAGCCCCTGACAGCAACAAAGCGGCTCCCACGTGTGCGGGAAGATGGAGAGACCGCGGGGAGACCCCGGTGGGCACAGCCCTGGGATGCTCTGGGTAGCAAAGCGGGTCCCACTGCTCACACGGGCCAAACGCCTGCACAGACTGGGGCCTAACGGCTCCCGTGGCTAGCTGTCCCTGTGCTACTAGCCCCACAGGTAGTAACCCCCATAGATAGCAGCCCCCCATGAGTAGCACCCCCATGGCTAGTGGTCTGTGGCTAGTAGCCCCCCCATGGGTAATACACCCATGGCCCCTGTGGGTAAGTAACACAGCCATGGCTAGCACTCCCCATGGCTAGTCGCCCCACGGGCTAGCGGCCCCCG